AAGAGCTGGAAGCCCAATGACTGAGCCACCCAGGCACTCCAGGGAGATTTTTTATTACCTATTTTTAAAGATTTTATTTATTTGAGAGAGAGTGTGTGAGTGAGAGAGCACAAGCAGGGGGAGCAGCAGAGGGAGAGGGAGAAGCAGACTCCCGGCGGAGGAGGGAGCCCGATGTGGGGCTCGATTCCAGGACCCTGAGATCATGACCTGAGCCGAAGGCAGGCCAACTGAGCCACCCAGGTGCCCCACAGGGAGCTTTGTTTAATGAGGACAGAGGATCAGGTTTCCAAGATGAAAGAATTCTGGAGATGGATGGTGGTGATGGTTGCACAACAATGTGAATATTGAAGGATAGTAGCATATGCCAGCCCCAAATATGCCACTTTGATATTACTTTGAGCTGAAGTCACTTGAAAAATAGCAGACGAGGAGAGGATGTCTGTGAACTCCCTTTTGTCCTACTTGCAGGTCCTTCCAACGGGCTCAGCGGTTGCAGAACCCCTCACTGGAGCTTCACCAACCAGGGAAGACTGGCTCCTGTCACAGGACAGGAGACTAGAAGTAATGCTGTAGGACAGACTTTAGGGTTTGAAGCCGATGGCAAAGAAAGAATTCTTGAGGCATCTTTGGTGCACAAGGGTGGTTTTATTCAAGCACAGGGACAGGATCCGTGGGCAGAAGGGTCATGAGGAGTGGCCCGTTATATACTTTCAAGTTGGGAGGGGGTTAGGGATAGCTTAAGTCTCTAATGAATTTTGGAAGCAAGGTTTCCAGGACCTTGAGGGGGCTAGCTATTGTTGGGAAAAGGTCATTTATTGCCGTCTGATAAAACCTTACTCATGAACCCCTTCGATGAATATCGGTGGGCCATATGCTTGGGGGGTGATTGCCAATACATATCTCGGGGGTTTAGAGATAAAGGAAATTTCTAAAGAAAATTTTTTTTTTAAAGCAAATTTTTTTTTTTTTTATGAGAGACAGAGAGAAAGAGAGAGAGGCAGAGGAAGAAGCAGGCTCCCAAGGAGCAGGGATCCCAATGTGGGACTCGATCCCAGGACTCTGGGATCATGACCTGAGCTGAAGGCAGACACTTAACCATCTGAGCCACCCAGGCACCCTCTAAAGAAATTTTTATATGTTAAAGTAGACTTACAGGATCCTGGGGGGTGGGGGGCCCAGCTAGGATTGTCTTTTGCCTTTAGCAAAGTATCAACTTCAAGGCAGCTGCGTCCCCAGAGAAAGGTCACTCTGCCTGTTTCAAGGACTTGTCAAAGGACTGTAGGTAGTAAGGAAATTTAATAATTTTTCTTCTGCCTTTATTTCCCACATCAGTTAGACACTGAACTGTCACAAACTATCCTACCTCCCATTTATTCTATTCATCTTTCCTAAAAACCATTTACTTTCCACTGAGAGGCCTATATTCCCCTTCTCTTTCCCTATTAAGATGGTATTTGAGCCTAACTTCTAAAACCACCTCTGAGTTACTCATTTTCCACTGGGTATCTCCCATGTATACCTGATATACATGTTAATAAACTTCTGGGTTTTTTTTTTTTCTCTCTCTTATCTGTCTTTCATTACAGGGGTCTCAGCTAAGAACTCAGAGGGTAAAGGGAAAATTATACCCCCCCCCCCGCAGTATACCTAACACGACTGAACTGTCCTCTTAAAAAATGGTTAAGATGGTAAATTTTGTTATGTGTATATTTTGCCACAACTTAAAAACAATGAATTAAGAACAAAACAAATCCACTGTTGACTAACTTCTCAACCTTCCTAAAGTAGGCAAATTTGGGGACTGGAACTCAAGTCTGATTTTCTGCCTGGTGGGGGATAAAACTGGTTATTTTTAAACTGGAGCAGCCGATGCTCTGCCACACAACGCAAATGCACTCGTGTAAACAGGAAAAAGAAGAGTCCCTTGGGCTTCCCCCCACCCCAAGCTGCAGATACCTTTAATTACCTTTTATGGTTATATAACCAATGACAAAGCAAGACAAACATTCCCCAGCCAGCTCTTGATTTCACTCTTTCTCTTGGGGGGGGAAATGTTTGCTGATCCTTTTGCTCTTGGACTTTCTTATGAGGCTGAGTTAAGTCCCATACATGGTTGTGACCTTCAGGGGAACCGAATCCTTCAGGGAAGGAAGTAAAGGCAAGCAGACAAGCAGGCACCAGGCCACCAGCACCCCCACCTCCCTCCCTACAGCAGCCCAACACCCAGGCCCTTTGTGAGCTCAGCCCATCACGTGCTCACTCCTGCCCACCAATCCCGCTGTGTTGCTGGGCCTCCGTCACTCTTCCATTGGTGTCAGTTCTGAAGCAATCTCTTCTGGGGCGCTTGCAAAGGACGGATCTGTGGGTGGAAGGAACTGAAAATGGATCCAGTGACTCACCCTGCATCTCGCACATTCTAGCACATTACATTCTAGGTCAGGAGATTTTAGGTTTCAGGGACGTGACTTGATACCCAATTCCTGGGTCCAAGTGGGGCATGTAGGTTTTGGGGGGTCGTCTCAGCAAATAGAAAAGCAATTGTAATGAGGACAACAAAATTCCTCTGTAGGGCAGGGTTTCTCATCCTCCTTGGCATTACCGACATTTGGGGCTGGGTGATTGTGTCGTAGGGGACGTGCAGCAGCATCTCCGACCTCCGTTACCAAGTGCCAGTGGCACTTTCCCCTCCCCACTAACACCACTGTTGGGACAACCAAAAATGGTCTCCAGACATTGCCAAATGTCCACTGAAGAGCCAAGTCACTCCTGGTTGAGAATCACTGCTCTAGAGAAACACCAGCCACTTGCTTCACTTTCTCTTTCCCTCCCTGTCACCTCAGTGCCCTTGGACAAATGTTTACTTCTATTACCTCTCACACAACCCATTGTTGGACTTAAGGAATGAAGGGGTGTTTCAGAGCTTTTTTTTTTTTTTTTCTGCTAGAGACAACATCAGTGTTCCCAGCTCCTAAGAATGTTGTTTTCTCCTTGGAGATAACCCTGGACCCACTTCCCACCCTCTGAGGCTCTCTTCTTCCTCCTTCCTCCGCTTCCTCCTCCTCTCCCTCCCCTGCCTCTGAAATCAGGCCTGTTTTTCTTTGTACCGTTTGGACTCTGGAAAAAGCTATGTCACAAAGCTCATGACTCAGCCTTTAAACAACATGAATCATGAGGCTGGCAGCAAAAGCCACAGCCAAAAGCGAGCAGGGTGTGGTATGAAGCCAAGCCTGGTTACCTTAGAAAGCACCTCGGCGTTCTGCTTCTCTGAAACTTCTGCCTGAAATTTGGGGAGAAATACACCTATAAAGAGCCTCCATGTTTTGTTCCCTTAAAACCTCTTTCCAGAAATAACCTTCACAAAAATCTGGATAGGAAGTGACTGGGGTCTCCTAACCTGAAAAAATGACATTTTGTTTTTACTGTTCGTTTTAATTTTCCAGTAACCAATTCATTCTCTTTGAAAAATGTTAAAAATTGCACAGTCTATTTTGAAGGTTCCTCAGGCCTTTTTCAAAAATACCTACATACATGGGTCACCGAAGAAAATATAGTTTTGTTTTGATTCACATTTTAAGAAAGTTTAATACAATGTTCATAATTTAAAACAGGAATGAGTCTTTTTTTTAATGGCAAAACATTTTTTAGGCAATTTTTTTTTTTTGGAAGGCTTTGAGGATGGAAATTAAAAGATCTTTCTCCCCTCTATATTGTAGAAATGGGGAATATTTCTAGAAGATTCCAGAAGGGGCAGTGGCTGGGGAATTGAGCATGAGGGAAACTTTTCACTGTAAACTTCCAAAAGCCTCTTAAGTTTTCACATTATATTTTTTTCATATTCATATATTTTAAAAACAAAGAATACGTTGAAGAAATGACACCTAGAAACCACAAACTGGGTGGTGGTAAAAACGAAAAAGATCGGGCCGGCAATCTTTTCCTCTTCTTTTATCCAAATGGAAATTTGCCGTAGAATTAAATTTTATATCTGGGATATAAAACTGTGTTCTTCTCCCCCCGCCACAAATGTACAGGACTGGGATTCAAGTAGTGTGTTTAAAACCTCAGGCCTAACTAGGTTGGACTTAGGGGCTCCACCGAGTATCAACAAGAATGAAGACGGGACGCCTCCGCGCTTGCATTCAAGTACAGTCTTCTCGAACCCAAGAGGGCGCAGACGAAACAGGAAGGCCAAAGAACAATCTAGAAAGTTCGGTCGGCTTCCAGAGGCATCTCGAGTAGGTGGACAAAGCGTGTGGGGTTTCGGCCCCCCTTCTCAGACTTCGGCTTGGGCAGCCCAACGGCACTCCCCCGCTCTCGCTCCTGTGCTGCCCCGAGCGCGGCCTGGGGGCCCAAACCTGGCCCGCGCCCGACCGCCGCGCGGCGATCTTGTCGAGTCATCCGTCTTGTCCGCGCGCCCGCGCAGGGGGGATGGGCGGGCCGCCACGGCGGGAGGTGGGCGTGGGGGAGGGGACGCAGCCTGAGCGTGCCCCGGCATGAAGACCCCTGAGTTCGCGGACCGGCGAGGGGCGCATGACGCCTGACCCCGCTCCGTCCAGGGCGGGTCTCGAGAGCCACGGGGACCGTTGCGGCTGACGGGAGGGGGCGTCGGGGTCGGGCGGCGGGGATAGCCCGCTCCGGGCGTCCTGTGATCTCCGCGCCGGGTTTTCGCGCCTTCCGAGGGCCCTTTCCCTTCCTCCCCCCCCGCCCCCGCCCCCGCGGTCGAGCGCCGGCCACGTCCGTGGCCGTAGCACTCGACGAGCGCGCTGATTCCTCCGCGCGGGCGCCAAGTGCAGCGGCCCCTTCCTCACCAGATTCAGCTCTACAGCCCATCCTTCACAGGTAAACATTTCAGCGGGGCTCTTGGATGATTTGGGGGCGCTGGTTTTCTCTCCGGAGGGCAGTAAGTGTGAGAAAAATAGTCCCTTCTCGGCGTTTCTGCGGAGGGATCCATCAGAGCGGCGCTCCCGATCGCTATATAAGGAGGCGCCGGGTGTGGCGCAGGCAGTTCCGTGGAGGCCGGGAGTCCAGTTAGCGTTCTTGTGTGTGCTGTGCTGTCACACTAGCTTGGTGAGGAGTGGGCAGCTGCGCTGGCCCGGGGCTTTTGTGGTGGTGCGGGTGCAGGGGAGGCGGGAGGCCGAGCAGCCAGCCGCCGGCGGAGCAGCGGTGGAGGCTTTTAGTCGCCCGGGCGCGGGAGCGGAGTTCTCTGAGGGGGAGGGGCGTAGCAAAATGGCGGCCGCTTTGGATCCCTGGCTGGGAGAAGCCGGGCTGCGAGGCGGGCTGTGAGGATGGAGAGAGAAGCCTGGGAGGGGGGATGGTTGTGAGTGGATGAGAACGCGGCGGGCCCGTGAGGCCTTAGTGGGGCTCATTGCTCAGTGTGAGTGGGGAAGCCCAAGTGTGTTCCGCGGCCACGCTGGCGCCACGCTCCGCGTCTTGTCGCAGCGAGTGGGCACCAAGTGCGGGTGCCATTCAGTCCTGAGCCCGTTCCAGGGGAGGGGACCCGCTCACCGTGCCGGTCACGTGATGTCATCCCTTTGTCGGTTCACCATCTGGGGTGGGGCCGCCTGGTCCTATGTGTACAGCCGATTTTGGTCAGTCGCGGGACACAAGGGTTAGGCCCGGGGAAGACCCTGCCGAACTGTCGGGGCAGACACCAGTGAGGTGGGAGGGGAAGATAAGTGAGGCCCGCGCCTTCACTTGACTGGTATGCATGCTCTTCTCTCCCAGGGGCCAGAAACTTGGCTTTGGAGCTTGCTTGAGCTTAGGGAGCTTGTCCCTTTTTTCTCGTTAGCTTTCTCACGTGAGGCTTATTTTAGTTGTTGGGTAAACATAAAATGATCAGTAACTGACCAGTAGGATCGTGTTCACGTGTGAGTTGTCTGCTACACTTTTGGGTTCTTTTTTTGTGTGTGTGTGTGTCAGACAATGCAGATCTTTGTGAAGACCTTGACCGGTAAGACCATCACCCTGGAGGTGGAGCCCAGTGACACCATCGAGAATGTCAAGGCGAAGATCCAGGACAAAGAGGGCATCCCCCCTGACCAGCAGAGGTTGATCTTTGCCGGGAAGCAGCTGGAGGACGGGCGCACCCTGTCTGACTACAACATCCAGAAGGAGTCCACTCTGCACCTGGTCCTGCGCCTCAGGGGGGGCATGCAGATCTTCGTGAAGACCTTGACCGGCAAGACCATCACCCTGGAGGTGGAGCCCAGTGACACCATCGAGAATGTCAAGGCGAAGATCCAGGACAAGGAGGGCATCCCCCCTGACCAGCAGAGGTTGATCTTTGCCGGGAAGCAGCTGGAGGACGGGCGCACCCTGTCTGACTACAACATCCAGAAGGAGTCCACTCTGCACCTGGTCCTGCGCCTCAGAGGGGGCATGCAGATCTTCGTGAAGACCTTGACCGGCAAGACCATCACTCTGGAGGTGGAGCCCAGTGACACCATCGAGAATGTCAAGGCGAAGATCCAGGACAAGGAGGGCATCCCCCCTGACCAGCAGAGGTTGATCTTTGCCGGGAAACAGCTGGAGGACGGGCGCACCCTGTCTGACTACAACATCCAGAAGGAGTCCACTCTGCACCTGGTCCTGCGCTTGAGGGGAGGTGTCTAAGTTCCCCCTTTTAAGCTGTTGACAAAATTCATTGCACTTTTCTTTCAATAAAGTTGTTGCATTCCCAAATAGTGTGAGTTTTTCCGGGGAAAAGGGGTTCTTTTTAGTTTGGTTGGGGTGTGAGGGATCAGGGTTTCCAGTCTATCAAGTGATTCTAGTAACCAGGAGGTAATGTCCGTAAAAAAATTCGGAGGTTGCAGTTAGAATTCTCCCCTATAGCTTATATGTAGCTGTATTTGTAAACTGATTTTAGAAATACTGAATTTGAGGTTGGTTTGTGAGGTAACAGAATGGGAGAGTTTCTGGGCTGCCAGCAGGAAGGAGATACTAAAAAGAGGGTGGGGGGGGTGGTGGAATCTTCAGAAGAACCGGGTTTAATAAGTATTTAAATTTACATTGAGCTGTGCAGAAAGCAGTTTTACGGGATATTTTAAAAATGGCAGGGGCGCTTGGGTGGCTCAGTCATTGAGTGTCTGCTTTCGGCTCAGGTCATGATCCCAGGGTCCTGGGATCGAGCCCCGCATCGGGCTCCCTGCTCCATGGGAAGCCTGCTTCTCCCTCCCCCACTCTCCCTGCTTGTGTTCTGCTGTCACTGTCTCTCTCTCTCTGTCAAATAAAATTTTTAAAAAAAATAAAAATGGCAAGTAATCTGTATTAAGTGTGTGGGGCATTATGCTCAAAAGTTACAACAATTGGTAGAAGAGGCCCCTGTCTTTGTCTTCACTTGGGAAAGTTTATAGTAGCTTTTACCCCATCAGATGCTGCTGGTGAGGAATTCTTTGTCGTAGTTACAAGCAAAGGTGGAAGTCTAAGGAAGCTGGCATAATGTTAAGGAATCGGCACCGGGTGGTAGGTACCCCAGACATCAGAACCATTTAAGGGACTTAGGAAGAGACTGTTGCCAAAGCACCACTGCCTTCCACCTGCCCAGTTTTAGGGTATCCATGTGCAACCTTAGGTGTACAGGAAATTTTTGTGTTGTCCATAAAATAGCTTAAGACTACATCCTTAGCTTTAGGGATCAAACTAGAAAATGCCATTTGAGAAATATGTAGATCTTAGGCAAGTTGTTGCAGTTTTTCACTTTGTTGATAGTGTACAAAATGTGCAGTGTACTCAATTTCCATGACTCATGTATGTAAGGTGACATAAAGGTTAAGAAACAACCTCAAGAGGGCGCCTGGGTGGCTCAGTCGTTAAGCGTCTGCCTTCTGCTCTCAGGTCGTGATCTCAGGGTCCTGGGATGGAGCCCCACGTCGGGCTCCCTGCTTGGCGGGAAGCCTGCTTCTCCCTCCCCCACTCCCCCTGCTTGTGTTCCCTTTCTCGTTGTGTCTGTCAAAGTCTTAACCTCAGGAACTCCACTAGTACTTCTGGTCACCACGTTAGGTGACCTGCAAAAAATACGCTCGTTCCAAACTGGTTCTAGCGTTGGGAAAAAACCTCAACGGCATCCTGAAAATGACCACTCTGAAGGACAGGCATCACATGGTTCCTAAGTCAGTGATGATGAGTGCATTTTTAGTCTTCCAGGGGTGCCTGGCTGGCTCTGGAGTGTGCAGCTCCTGACCTCAGGTTTGTTAGTTTGAGCCCCACGTTGGGTGTAGGGATTACTTTAAAAATCTTTATAGTTTTCAAAGTACAAGAGCGTGAGTGGCTTACAGTTTTTGAGAACGTGAGGCTGGGTCATATCGTTAACAGCCGAATTTCTCTAACGGTGGAGACCCTGAGTACCTTGTGCAGAGCTAGAGGGGTCTTGGCGTTGGAGCAAAAGCGCATTGGAGCACAGTCTAATAAAATTGTTACCCGGGTAGGGATGCTTATTTGGGAACTCACTGAAGAACACTTGGTTCTTTGAAATAAAGTGCTGCCTGTCAAGTTCAATGAAAGGAATTGCTAATTACAAGTGTAAATACCAGAAAGGTTCTGAAAAACAACTACAAACACGTTAAAATCAGTGATGTAGAGTTCATACAAGCTAACTCCCAGGAAGAAACGAGTTTGGAATCGATTTGGTGCTTATTTCAGTTACAACATATATATACATTGTGTGTGTGTGTGTGTGTGTGTGTGTGTCAAAGTCAGATAGTCCACCTAAGTTCATAATTTCCCAGTGTTAGCTTTTTCCCCAGTGATAACTACTTTTAAGGTTTGGTACCTTTTTGGACTTTTACCTTATATTCTACAATAAATACACCATAGTTATGTACATACATAATGTATACACATGTACATAGGACCATTCACAATTTAGAGTTTCTCAGCCTTTTTTTTTTTTAAGATTTTATTTATTTATTCATGAGAGAGAGAGGCAGAGGGAGAAGCAGGCTCCCAACGAGCAGGGAGCCCGATGCGGGACTCGATCCCAGGACCCCGGGATCATGACCTGAGCCGAAGGCAGACGCTTAACCATCTGAGCCACCCAGGCGCCCTCTCAGCCTTTTTTAAACTGAGTAATTATGGACACCTTTTCATGTCACCATATCTAGATCTACCTCATTCTTTTTAATACTCTTGCTATTCCATTGTATGGATGCCCTATGATTTAACCTGTGCACCAACATTTGTTTCCAGGTTTCTGCTGCTGCAAAGTACATCCTTATGTACAGCTCTTTTGTATACTAATATTTTGAAAGTATGGCGTAAATACGAGATTTCTATGTAATAGGGTTCTCAGGGATAATTAAAAATAGTCCACCTTAGAACTTAATTATTTGTCCCATGATATTTTTCTATTTTTAATTTTTTGAGTAGGTAACACTTCACGTGTTTTGGATACATAAAAAGTTTAAAATAGGGGCGCCTGGGTGGCTCAGTTGGTTAAGCGTCCAACTCATGATTTCAGCTGAGGTCATGATCTCAGGGTTGTGAGATCAAGCCCCATGTCAGGCTCCCCACCCAGTGGGGAGTCTGCTTGAAGTTTCTCTCCCTCTTTTCCTCCCCCTGCTTCCACTCTCTCAAATAATTAAATCTTTAGGGGCACCTGGGTGGCCCAGTCGGTTAAGCGTCTGCCTTCGGCTCAGGTCATGATCTCAGGGTCCTGGGATCCAGCCCCGCATCGGGCTCCTTGCTCAGCGGGGAGTCTGCTTCTCCCTCTCCCTCAGTCCCTCCCCCCATTTGTGTGTGCACGCTCTGTCTCAGGTAAATAAATAAAAGTCGTTTTTTAAAAAGATTGTATTTATGTATTTGACAGGGAGAGAGCACAAGCAGGGGGAGCAGCAGGGAGAAGGAGAAGCAGGCTCCCCTCTGAGCAGGGAGCCCGATGTGGGGCTCGATCTCAGGATCCTGGGATCATGACCTGAGCTGAAGGCAGACGCTTAACCAACAGCCACGCAGGCGCCCATAAATAAAAATCTTTTAAAAAAATCTTTGGAAGTTTAAAATAGTATGTAATGTCCCCCATGCTGTCTTCCACCCCCCCAGTTCTCTAGCCCCATCCCCGCCCCAAAGTACTTTCAGAGTTTACGCATATGAAAGCAACCACTCGTTAATATCTTTTACAAAAGGTAGCATATTGTGTGTAGCCTGTCCTGTACCTTGCTTCTTCACTTTACATCTTTTATAATTTTGGCAAGAGTTCTAATATCTTCTCATTTTGCATAAAGGAAAAATACCTCATGTCATTTTCTCAAGAATAAAACCACCAAGCCAACAGAATCCCTCCTGAAACATTTACAGGCCCCTCCAACAAATACAGGAACCATAGTGATACAGTGATGAATAAGAAGTGTTTCTGCTATTAAGGGGTCTTCAGTCGATTGAAAGAACAGATACTAGACTTGGTTTCACGGAGTGACTGTGAAGTTTGGTTTCACACATGAATTAATGCTATCAGAGGATTCACTTAGATGAGTCTTGAATAAGCCAGAAAAGCATGTAGCTTGCATTTATTTAAAACAGTGTTCCTTTTTATGTTTTGTCTGAAAGCACAACAAAACCCTCGCCAAGTTATAAATATGGCCCTCACAGAGGTATAGTCTAACAGCTTGGCAAGTGCCTTTTAATAAAGGATTTGCCACGTCAGTGTGTAGTGCTCATTTCTGCCGGAAGAGGGAGCTCCTAGGACAGGTTTTGGTTTAGTCATGAGGCCCGCAGCACCCCCAAGCGGTTGTGGTTGACAAAGCAATTTATGCTTTTCCCTTCACTCCCTACAGAGACTTTTTACTGTCCTACTCCCTCTGGCCCCAAAGCCTTTTACTTTCTCCTTTTCCTTCCAGTCCTGCAGCCGCTTCCTGTTGGAATTACTCCACAACATCTAATAATAGCTATTATTCAGCGTAGACTCTCTATTACTGTATCTCATCAGATCTAACTCCTCAAAATGCTGTCCTCCCTCTTTCCCTTACCTCCTGGCCACTTTCTTTTCTCCATATGCTCCCTCCCATTTTCCACCTTTTTCTACTCAAGCTGCTCCCTCTTTTTAAAATACCACCACTCCCACCTTAACAAATCAAATCCTACCCAACGTCAAGACCTAACTCAAAGGTTGCACTAACTAAAGTTCCTTGTCTGTCCTGATTGGACATTATCTGAATTCCTGAAATCTCCTAGCTCTTCCTAATTTTTTTTTAAAGATTTTATTTATTTATTTGACAGAGAGAGACACAGTGAGAGAGGGAACACAAGCAGGGGGAGTGGGAAAGGGAGAAGCAGCAGGCTTCTTGTGGAGCAGGGAGCCCGATGCGGGACTCGATCCCAGGACCCCGGGATCATGACCTGAGCCGAAGGCAGACGCTTAACCATCTGAGCCACCCAGGCGC